CCACCACCACCACCACCACCGCCGGCAATCACATTCTTAATAAATGGCCGGGGGGCGATCGTGGAACAGGCGGCACAAACCAGACGTAGCCCCTCCGCATGGAACGACGATTCATATGTTTATACGTTGCCGCACTCTAGCAGTCTCTGACGATGAATTCCAGTTCGAGTTCGAAAGATCAGGCCAATAAAACTACTGTCCCAGGGATCGTGCCTTCGTCTACTTTTAAACATTCTTAATGCCCCACCGCCGTAGCCGTCAAATACTACCACCGCCTTCACCCCTGCCACAATCCCTGCGACGATAACGACAACCAACTCATCTCTGCCACCACTGTCAAGAACACTCCCGGCTTCAGTCAACCGCCATGCTCCCAACCACCGCCCGCATCATTAGCCATATGGACTTCATCCTAGACTGACTTCATCGTACTCCTATAGCGCGCATTGGCCTGATTGGTCACTTGCGACGCCATCCAGAGGAGACTGACGGTTAAGTGCCAGAAACCCTAAAATACACTAGCCACACTCGCCTCCGCTATTATATAAATTCCACGCCCATTCAGTCGGTTCGGATGGGCTTTTTAAATTCAGCCGCCATTTTTTCTGATCTTGATTTACACGGAAATCTTCTTATTTGTGAATCTATTGGCCTATTTTACTCATTATATACCGATTTTCGTCCCTTTATTTGTCTGAACTATAATAATGAGGTCAGCTTCACACCACGCTAACAAAGTTTTGAAGGAAATAAAATCTAAAGCGAATTTCGCAACTTATTCACCAGGGATGCTTGATGTTGTCGACAGCTGCAATTTTCAGCCACTAAGGTGTGTTTGTGATCTTCTGGTGTTATCTGCTTTGTTTATCGATTTTTATCCATCCTGAACTGAGGCCTTGTTTGCTAATAACTTCGGAATTATGCCTTCAAAATATAGCGTCTCTCTCTTAAGTTATAGCACGGGTCTCCATGTTAATCTGCGATAAACCACCGCAGACCAAGCCCCACCAACACACACCACACGCGAAACCGTCTCGCATCACTCACCGCAAGCAAGGACTATGGCAACCCGCCCATCTAAAGTGGAGGCGCGAACTTCAGCTCCCACTCTCTACGGCCTTTATGGTGGTAAAGCGCGTATGATGTCCAAGTCGCCCGTCCCCTTTTTGTGGATTCCTGGTGTGTTTTGCGGGGAACCAAGTGCTGTTGAGCACGCACAGACAGGCAGTATAGCTCTGTCAGCCGCACTCGACGACTGAAGGATTCGGACAGTGGACTGGTAACCTGGAGAGGGACAGTCAGTAGGGACAAATTGGGGGACTGCGTTTTCACGAAATTCAGCGCATAATCTCCATTTCTAAATACCGGACACGCTGCTAAAATATCACGATGCGCTACAGCCAGCGTAACTTGGTCCTCCTCGGCTGTAATGACACTCCCACTCAGCTGAGATTCGAGGCGGCCCCTACTTGCCCGCGTGAAAACCTGTTCCATTGTGCGTGGATCAGAATTGTGCGCACACGCGGATGACCTGTCTAGCTAAGTCAGCCATTGCGCCCGATCCCACCTCCGAGTTTTTTGATACCGTTTTGACACCAGGCCCAAGTGAATGTGAAGGGAGAGAGTGAGGTAGATGCTGCGAAAGTCCACTATCACTACAAGCTCATCCACGCACACATCACTGCCCCTGAGCTTATTCTGCTGTGAAACACACAGTATACACCGTTGGTAATGACTGTCGAGTTGCTGATTGTCTGTGTTTGTGTAAGGAAAGAGACGTTTGGTTCTTAATTTTTCACATCTGGAAGACACCGCTTCCTTCAGTGTACTCTTTTCATATGCAGCCACTTGCTTCTAATTCAGACGGCATTTTTTTAGACCAACTTGGTTTAGCTGCATTTGAATGCCTAGTTTAGCCTCCCATGATGAAGCCGTGTTCGTTTTACTGAGTGAATCGTCTTGATTTGGTTTGTGTTGGCCCAAGTGACAGACGTATTCAGAAAATCACTGTTTAAGCACACTTCAGATTGAAAAAAAGCCTCATTACGTCGTCCTCATCCTTTTTGGCACTTAACTTTCCAGGAAGATGGCGGTTTTTATTAAGGCTACCAAAATAGCATTCAGAGGGTATAAATGTATGTCACTACTAGGAATACGCACCACACACCCCACCGCACATTTAAAATGACGTCTTCTTCCGAGCTAACGTGCATCGAAGAGACTTAAGTACCCTACACATTACTTCCTAATTTTAATGTATAACACCATACGGGCAAGCCTAATTAATGTAAATAGGACGCGGGGCCAAGGGTGAGTCGATTGTACAAGGTAAAAGACTAGATTCTGAATTCTGCCGAAATTGCGCAAGTAACCCGAAACAAAACTAACCACGCCTCACCCTAGGGACACTTTCTAAAGGGCAAGGCGTCGGAAATGCCAAGATGATTGGAAAGGGATTTAACAGCAGAAGGCCGTCGATGTAAAAACGTCCTCCTCCTCCTCCGGTGGAAAACAAATTCCTAAGCAGTCATCTGCTCTCCCTCTGAAAGCTCGTAGGCTATGGTCATAATTTTTGTGACAGCCCATTGGGTATATAAGATGTGGTTATTTAGCCCCACCTGATGGACACAATACTGTTGGGGTTAGGGTTAAAGGTTAGGATTAGGGCAATCATTTTTCGACCATTCAAAGTACAGCCGCGCATTCCCAAGAGCCTTTATTTTGCATGCACCTACTTGATTTCGTTGTCTGTGCTTACCCCGCCCCATCTGTAAAAATCCCTATTACCACCGGTCCCGTATTACAGGTGACTGGGGTTGGTTTACTTCAGGTGGGATTACATAACCACATCTGACCGCCCACTGCCATACATGTTTTGTGCGCAACTTTTCACAGCTATTCCATTTCTAAATCGCTTTCTTAACTCGCATTTTTTCACGTTTTGTTTGTCTATTACGCTGTACACTGCAACTGATGTGAATTTCAGCATTACTAACTGACTTTCTACCCATTGCCTTTTTCTTAACTGAGCGGCGTGGACCGCTAAGTCATTTCCGGCCTGGCGGTTTTGCTTGGCTTATCTCGACTCTGGTCTTAGCGTGGGATCGCAGTATCGATTGTCCTAACTCACTGGAGTCTCATTGATTCTCATCCCGCCGCCTGTCTTCCCCCTGCTCCCAGCTTTCCTTCGTCTTGCGCACTTTGCAAAAACTGCGTTTTGTTAAGAACTCTGAATACATTTAAAACAGGAAGGATCCACATTATGCTGAAGTTTCTTTACGCATCAGTGATTTGTTAGACGCTGGGCTGGTTGCTTGTTTGCCACCTAGCGGCAGCTACAGACTGTGGTAGAGGAAATACCAAACTAGCAGCGTGCTTTAAGCGCAAAAAAACAATGCACGCTACCCTCCGCGGCAGCTGTAACTTTGTGCAATTTTGCAGCAGCATATTAAGCAGAGGATAAGAATACAAGCCCATTTGTTTCGCTGCTCCAGTATGATAACAGCAAATCAGATTTTTGCTATGGGTTTTTGCGGGGTAGAATGTTTGTTTGTAGTCAAACTAGATTGCGTGCTAGCCTACCAACCCTGACATTATAGAACTGAATTTAGGTTTTCTCTTCTGCCTCAAGAATCTGATTTCCGGTCTTTAACAGAATCCGAATATTTGCGAGCAATGGGGAATCAGGAGATACTTCTAACAAAGGGAGAACGAATAAAATTACGACGTCTGGATTTAAGACCCAACAGGCTGACGGAAATGGCTGCTATGTTCATTCTTCTCTCTGTCGGTGTCAACTTTACGTGTTGATTTTTACTTGTTGCCTGATCGAGCATTCCATCTCCGCATTAAATAAACGCGACGTCCGTATTGCGGACCTTAGTCAGGAAGGAAGACAAACAAACCGTCAAAT